TGGATGGATGGTTACGTGAAGGAGAGAGAAGCTTACTTCCTCCAGCTCGTCTCCTCCCAACTCGCCTGCTCCGAATACCCACAATCAACATGCAACACCTCCAACCCCCCAATCCCCCCCAGAACCCGAATCTGCTCCCTCGACGGCCCGAACTTCCCACACCAATCCAGCACCCTTAGATTCCTCGTCACGCGGAACAGCTCCACCAGGCGTCCCCTTAGCCTCTGCGTCGATATCGTGCCTTTACTCCAAACCACCGGAGTCGTCTCCACGACGAGGTGGCGCAGGGCCTCGACGATGGGGAAGGGGCGGGTGGTGGGTGCAGAGCTTGATATGAGGAGATCGAGGATTCGGTGGACGTCGGCCATGGAGCGGGCGGCGGGGCAGGAGAGGGGCCAGGGGAGGTGGCAGAGGCGCCGGAGGACGAGGGTGAAGAGGGGGTGGGAGGTGGGGAGGGAGCGGGAGATTGTGAAGAGGGTTGAGGATTCGTGGATGTAGGAGAGGATGTGGGCGTGGAGGTCTTCGTAGAGGACGTCGGCCATCGGCGATGAAAGAGCGGGTTGGATGTGGATTTATAGGTCTTCGAACGCGATGCCTCCCGAGCAGCACAGGGTCAGGGTTACTAGGGATGGATGCTGGTGAATTGTTTCTTGGCCACACGCAAATCAGGACAGATCTCGACCATGAGCATGATGAAATGGAGCTTGATGGAGCAAGGCCATATTTGGATATCAGTGGCATAGGCTGAAGTAAAACCATTGATTCCCTCCTCCTCAAAAATTACGAAGGGAGTCTTCGATGATGCACTGGAAACAAAGAACGATAACTGCCACAAAAAGATTCAAGAGATATTGAAAGATTATTCCAGATCTTCAATATTCTTTGAATATTCTTTGAGCAATGGAATATCTTTTCGATAATCTTTGCATTTTTTCCCGAAGAAGATCGATATTTGCATCCAGTGATGGTATGAAGATCGAGGAGAGGGTTCCAATTGGGGGTCTACTGTTTGCTGCCAAACACATTGGCTATACCTTGCAGCCTACCGATTATAAGTTTCCAAAACAAGCCCCGACTAACCGCCCGCACACTTAGCAAAAAATGGTATACTCATAAGATATTCTACACATACAGCAAGCAAAAAAAAAAGAATGCGAGAAAGACGGGTGATGGTAGGATACTGATTAACTACTATACGATACGGGGTTAAATAATAGCTTGTAAGTAATACAAAATACACGGAATAAACAAAGAAAGAATGGGCGGGTGGTTAGTAGCACTCAAGACTCAAGGGTAAGAGTCGAGGTGATGGAGGAGGGCAGAATCAGGGTGGGGTGGGGTGGGTTAGAAGTCCGGCTCGTGCTCGTTCTCCATCGCCTCTTTCTCGAATCGCTTCTTCATCGAGCTCACTGCAAGTCTCAATTAGTATGGAGCACACGTAGGGGAGGGTGGATGTATGCGTACCATCTCGCGAAATCTGGCCAGAGGATAACCAGCCCTCCGGGAACGCAGCTACAATCTACACGAACCACAACCCCAATCAGTCCTGAATAAAGTACACCCACAAACCGAGACGAGTCCTACGCACCTTCTGATACAAAACCTTCCTCAGCCCCTGCTCGCTAACCTGTATCACCGAGCCCTCCAACGTGCTAAAACAAAATCAACACCTTAACAACGAGTAAAGCGAAGCCTGACGCACTTCTTCTCATTCTCCAACCGACAGCACTCATTACTCAACAGCACCAACTGCCACACGATCGCCTTCATCGAGTCCGTCAGCCGATACTTCTTCCCCGGCGGCTGCTGCGGGTGCCCCTCCTTGTCTTTATCCTTGTCTTTATCCTTATCTTTATCCTTATCCTTGTCCTTGTCTTTGTCCTTGTCCTTATCCAGGGGCACAAGCGCAGACGCAGATGGCGAAGGATCCACATCCATCTCCTCAGTCGGATGCCGCGTCGGCCCCGTCGAGTCCGTGCCCGTCCCCCCTGGCACGGGTCCTTCCAGGCGGAGCTTTTCTTGGCGTTTGTCTGTGGGGATCAAGTCAGTTAAGGGTGCGGAAAGCGGAAACGGATAAGGAGGGAAGGGGGGAAGGGAGAAGGGAGAAGGGGGAAGGGGAAAAGGGAAGGAAGAAGGGAGAGGGGGGGACATACCCCATGCAACGACACTCTTCTCCCACTCCTCCTCGGCCTTAGGGAACCCTGCTTTAGCCTGCTCCGCGAGCTCGGCGAGGAGCGCGTCCCCTCGTTCCATGAGGAGCGCCGTGTGTTCTTGGAATACCGTCCTCTTGATTAGTTTCTGTGTGCAGAGGGGTCCATGTCAGCCTTGGAGGCAGGGGGATGGAAAGGGGTAGGAGGGGGGGAGGGGGGGACTGACGCTCATGGTGAACTTGTTGTAGGGGAAGAGCGTGGGCATGAGATTGAAGAAGTGCTCGTCGTACTCGTCGAGCTTGATCGCGAGGACGGCGAGCTGCGCGAGGGGGGGCTTCAGTGTTGCTGGGAACTTGCCCTTCTGGTCCCAGTTCTCTGTGGGGGGGACGGTCAACAGGGTAGGAGGGAGGGACGGAGACACGCGATATATACGTACCCTTGTCGATAGCCTGTTGCAGCTTCTCCACCTCTTCCTGTATCAGCGGATGGAACGAGTGCTGCAACCAATACATTAATTTCGTGAGTCCCCGAAACGTCGGACCCCACGTACCACATCCACGACCTTACGCTTCTTCCCGCCCTCCACAACCGTCACATACCGCTTCCGCTTATCCCCCGCCCTCGGGTCCCCCACCGTATACGCCCCCACCCCCTTCCCCACCCCCGCCTTCCCCTCCTCCTCCTCCTCCGAAGCGCTCCCCTCCAAGGTCACAGGCCTCTCCCTCGTCCCCGGCTCATTCTTCACCGCCACAAACGGTTTCTTGCTCGTCCCAGGCACAATACCCCCTCCTTTCTTCGCGGACATAGCAGCCACCGACCCCCCGAGCAAAGGGTTCTTCGACTTGGGCTTCTTGGGCGTCTTGTTCTTGTCCTTGAGCAGGGCGACCTCCCCGGAGGAGACGTAGAACCCCTGCTGCTTGGTCTGCGCGAAGTAGGTGCGCTCGTCGATGGCGAGCTCGGAGTCGTCGATGAAGGGGTCGGAGACGTCGTAGTGCTCGAATGTTGGGTTTTTCTTCTGGGGGGTGGTTTTGGTTGGCATGGTAGGGGGGGGATGAGGCAGTCTCACACGCACCTTCTTTTTCGTTTTGCCCTTGTCCTTGTCCTTGTCGCCCTCGTCGTCCTCGGTGTCGCTGTGCGCAATAATGCTCACGACGCGGGTGGGCGTGGGCGGGCGCTGCCCGGTGGCACGCGCGATGTCCGCGATGTCGATGGCGTAGTTCTCCGGCCCGCCGAGCGTGATGTCGAGCCGGATGGTCTGGAGCGGCGGCGGGGGCGGGGCGGGGGGCGGGGACGGCGACGGTGAGCGCGCCGCCTTCTGTTTGGAGGAGCGGGGTTTGGCGGAGGTGGCGGTGGAGGCGGGTTTGGAGCTGGCGCCGGGGGCTTGGTTGTTGTTGTTGCCGATGGGCGGGGCGGCGGGAGGGAGGTCGAGGGGCTCGTCTTCGTGGAGACTGGGTTCTTCGTGTGCTGACAGAGATATTATCGTGATTGGATGCCCATCGAGGGGGCCGACCGACGATTCTCTGCTCGCGGCGGAACTTCGAGGTGGGGTGGTCTCATCATGGTGGCTGGAGGGAGAGAGCCCATCACCATCACCAGAACGCATCTCAATATCCATAGTGGAGCCCTAATGCAGAACCGACTGCAGTAGCTAGAATCCAAGGCGAAAAAAGCGCAGAAAAAGAGGGGGGGAGGGGGGGAGGGGAGATGGGGGGAAGTACTCTGATGTGGCACCTGTGATCTGGATCCTCCTTGGCGGAAATCGCCATGTCCGTGCGCCCGCTTTTTTCTTTTTCTCTTGCCTTCCATCCACCCGCGAAAACTGAAATTCGCAAAGTCGCGAGTGAGCCACAGGGTGCGTTCCCATTGGCTCGGCGTTTGCCATCTTCCAACCGCTTTGTTCCCACGGCGGGGGCCTTCCGAATCTTGGACGTGGAGGGGGAGGAGGAGCACATCTTCCATGCCCTCGTTTTTTTCGCATGGCCTCTGATAGACACTTATCCTCCTCTCAAAGTTACGATCAAGAAGAAAAGCTCCTTCCCCAACTCCCCCTCGAAAATGACACCTATCATTCTCCCTCCGCTCAATGTGGATGAATTTCTCACCGCGTAACTACCGATGCAAGACAACGACGGCTCCTCGGCTTTGTGACCTGATGCCTCTCCGTGATCCCTATGACGCCGTTTTGAAGTCCTGTCATGAATGGGCGCCGACTATTTCTGCCCGTAATTAGCCACGAGCGGTGGCATATACGCGTATACACCCAGCATACGCGCGGTAGATGCCACCGGAGTCTCTATGTACTCAAGCCTAACTTCAGTTTATGCATATGGGAGCATGGAACACCGCGGGTGCAATTCCAGGACCTGGACAAGCCTTCTGATCAAGTGGCATCATGCCACTGGTGAGCCAACTGTATCAAGAACATGCGACCTTTTCCAAATCTTCAGCTGCAGGACACAGACCTCTCGCTCTCGACCACAGCTGATGAGTGTACTCTCTATGAATACATACCAAAATTAGTATAATTCCAGCATATTGAGGGCTCTCATAGACCGCATAGACTTGGCTACACTGCGATCAAAACTTGCACCAGTTCTACTATGTACGTATGGTCGCTGATGAACAGGAAGACCAGGACCTGAAGTTCCGCGTCATTAGTGCACAAATGCGGCAAAAGTAGGTGAATGAAGGTCTAAGGAGGCTGTTGGTACAATACATGGCACGTCACGAACCTCCTTGAAGTTGATTCACATGCGGCAGCGTAACCCGCGAACGTAACCGTCAGGACAAATCCGAGAACCGACAAGACCGCAACCACATGACATTGGCTACTTCGATGGCCTTATGTATTCCCTCTTAGCTCAGTGGTAGAGCGCGTCACTAGTATACAGTACGACACATTGTGTATGTAATGACGAGGTCAGTCGTTCAAGTCGGCTAGAGGGAAATCATCCCAAAGTCAATTTTTTTTGAGTAACGGAAGTTTATCCCTTCCCGGCCTAAAATTATACTTTTCACAATCAAAGAGGCGTCCTTTTTAATCTTGAAACTTGTTCATAACAAGCTGAATAGCATGAAGCATGAAGATCGACACGTCACCATATTCCGACCCCTAAATCAGAGTACCCCACTCCTTCGCAGCACGCAACCCCCAATCCTCCAACCACGCCTCAAACTTCCCCGCAATCTTCGCATGCCCAAGAACGTTCGGATGCTGGTTCTCCGGAAACACGTCCGCGAACGTGATCCACCCCGTCGTATCAACGAGGAATATATTCTTGTCGCCTGCAGCCACTCTGTACGTATGTCCAGCCGTGTCAGTGTGTGATCCTTGGCGCGGGGTAAGGGGAGGTCACCTGTTGTTGACTATGGTGTGGTATTGGCCGACGTAGTATTGGCCGATGCTGCCGTCTGCGTTGGGCCAGCCCCACTGAGGGTAGAGAATGAGTGTGGTTAGATGGATGTGTGTGAAAGGAGGGGATGACGGACGGGTGTGAAGACGAATATCGGCTGGCGCTTGTATATCGTACGCAGACGCGCAACGAAGGCTGAATAAACCTGACGGAAGTCCAGTTATAACATCCACTCCAATCTTATGTGATCGCCACACACCTCGACGAACTGGGCATCAGTGACATTCTGCGCCGCATCGTTAGCACTGGAATGCAACAAGCCACAATCAGAAATCCCAAGCGCCTGGTTTGGAAAGTTATTGTATCTGGACGCACCCGATATGAATCACAATATGCGTCGCACCTGGCCGATCGCGCGCGAAGTTCCAAGGAGTCGTGAAATTGTGGTCTGTCGTATAGAAGAATCCCGTATCTTCGGTCTGCCGGTAACCGAACACCTTCTCAGCACGGTTCAACCTCATTCCATAAAAAAAAGAAACGACGTACTTTAAAGAACTGGAAGGAAACGCCATGGACATTGCCAAAGGATACGACATCCTGTTATGAGGTAAAGACAATTGGGAAGGCTGTTTCATCTAGCCATAAGGGAGAAACATACGGATAGCGCAGCTCCTGGTTGGGCAGTGATGCTATGTTCGGCCTTGAAATGCTCCCCCACGAGGAACGGCCATGCTTGGTCCACACCCAGAGGAAGGAACTGGCCCTAAAGTCCGAGGCCAACGCCCTACTTAACATATGGTTCTTTGACCGCCCAAAAGTCAGTGTTGATACTCACAGCTGACAGGGAGTCCCCGATGAACTGAAACACGATTTTCGAGGGTTTGTAAGTAAGAAGCACGGCGTCCTGGGTTATCGCACGAGCTTGAATATCACGTCCACCATCAAGGACTCAACAAATACCGAGTTTAAAGTTATAGACTCAAGGTTAATACGATTATTCTGCCATCCCTCCACATTGACTCGGACAACGCTTGCACCAGTATCGCCATGTCCATTCGAAGCGGGGGCTCCCAAAGGGATGGCGTTAGCGCCCATAGAGGCGTTCACGGTGAAGAAGTCTTGATAGTCGATGGACACCCCAGCCGCGGCGAAAGGTGCCGTGGTATGAGGCCCGAGATTCAGAGTGAGGGAGCGTAGATTTTTCACGTGGAGCTTGAAACCGGACCCTGCCCTACCAAAAAACAGACATGTACATGTATATAAGACGAGTGCAGCTGCCTTAATAAGGGACGGGACGAACCACCAAGTCCCCGGAGATGCATCCCAGCGTCCGTGGTAGTGGATGGCTGGATAGTCGTGGCTGATGGTTTTTGTGTGGGGCGTTGGGGATGCGGCGTGGGCGACTGTGAAACCTGTCAATGCTAGGAAGATTAGACCGAGGGAGAGATACATGGGGAGGTGGGAATGGGAGCGATGGAAGGCGGAGGACGCGGTATTTATGGTCGCCTACTGAGATGATCACGAGTTGGTGGTTTCGAATGCCCAAATATTTGCCGAAGAGAAAATGAGAGTCGTTCGGGGAGACTTGAGATTCCAATTGGGAGGAGTTATTTGGGAAAAACTTATAACTGGCGGTGGCCCGGGGCGAAGAGGGGAGATGTTAGAGTTGTTTAAGTTGCGAAGATATGTGTGGCGATAGGCTGGGCTTTGGATGATGACGTCGGCTCGCTAATATAACAAGCGGTTAGTCTCTCCTAGACTTGTTACCTCTTGGTACTAAGAATTCGGCAAGATGATTTGGGCTTCAGAATTTCGCGTAGATCGCGGCCAGCTGATACGGTCGAAGGAATAACAAACTCATGTATAGGAAAACGTAAGTCGCTGTTGACTTCGAGAGTACTTTCCATATGGCGTCTAAACAACTAAAAGTCGGTAGGACTTTGAATATATCGAAGGACACACACAATCAAGGAAAATCGGCGCGAGGCCTTTCAATGGCCATGGGACAAAAGAGACAACCGATCCTGAGTTAGCGAGAATGCAAACAAGCAAATCGCTTGAAGAATAATAATATGAATTGATGTGCGATGTTTAGCCCCAGTAGCAAAGCAAGAACAAGAGGAATGTACAAGGTGAATTCGAACCTGTTGTCATGATTGTTTTGTTGAAGTGCGGAGGCTGTCCACGCGTAGCGTGGGTAAACCCTTGGCACGTGCTTCCACCAGCGTGTTGTAAAAGGTGTATTTAAATCGGAACGAGCAATCTACCATGCTCTACCGTACCACCTGCCTTTTTTCGCGGCAAACACAATCTTTTTGACCGCCACACCACTCTTTACCATCCCTGAACATACACCATCCTTAATATGCCCGACCGTAAGCACCCTACAAGCACCCCCAGCTGTCCACCGTCTCAATGACTTCTACCACAGTCGGAGCACAGCCGATACCGTCATACGGGCCCACACCCAACGGACACAGTAATCGCCAACATAGAATACCCCCCTCCGGCAGTCTTCCGATCATCTGCTGGCAGCTATCCCTGAACCGAGAGTACACCAAAGAGGTGCGTGAGCCAGGTCTTTCAGCCTGCGTGCGGTTCGACTGACGCCGCCGATGGAACGAAGGAATATGATGCGTGCCATAAAGTAGTCTCATTATGCGTTGAGCATACGAAAGTGCCTCACAATCCCCGAGATTCAGATTCGTTTCGTGAGCGCCTCAACCCTCTGGTCGTTCAACCAACGCCTAACTTAGCGCACTATCCTAGGTCAACTAATGACCCTGATGTTGCCATTGCTCATGATGAGGCATCGTCGAATACCTCGTGCGAAGTGGAAGGATGAAAGCACGGCTGCTGGGAAGCGGTGGATCGAGCAGGTGCGTCGCCATGTGCCCTTGCACGCATGATCGAATCTCATCTCTTCATCGTAGGCTCAAGACGGGATGACTGCTGAACGATTTATGCAGTCCATGATTGGGTACCATTCGGGATTCGAGGGCTCCCTGTGTTCCATGATCATGGTTCAAGGCAGTAAACACCGGGTGGTCAATATCGGGATTGGCACGAAACAAGTCGCGGTAGAGCCGCGGGGGGTCACGGTAGCTGCGTATGTAGAATCACAATCACATAAAGTGCGTATTCTTCTTCTAAAAGCGGAAGTCAGCGATGCTGATGTCGTTTTGCGGCGCTGTAGTTGACCCCATTAGAGATGGCAAATATAACACAAGAGCAGGACGACGAAACGATCCTTCGCCGGCTTAGCATAGTCCTCGCGCTAAAACAAGCCTACATCAAAGCGATCGGCCATCCCATCGGCTTCGATTACTCGCGCCTCGAGTTCAACGTCCCCGAGCGTGCCGCGATGGGCGACGGCTACCCCCTGACCGGGTGGGAGTTCCGCATATGGCGAACGCAGCTCGGCGTGGCGCGCCGCGATCAGCTCGTCAACGAACAATACGAATGTGTCGTGGCGTTCTTCCGGGGCTCCAACGACTCGCGCTTTATATTCTATGATACGGCGGAACAGCTGAATAGCTGGGTGCAGTTTATCAATATCGACCAGATGGTCAAGGTTATCCCAAAACTTACTGCGTGAGGTTATATTATAAGCCACCCATTTTTTCTGTTGATTTTGCCCCTTTTCTTCGTTGCGTAACTGCTTTTTTTCTGTGCGCGCAGACATTGGGATCGTATATACTCGAGATAATTTCTATTAGGCTGCTATTGTTGTGTTTCTGCTGTCGCGTTAAAATTTGTCTGTACAAGAACTTATTATATATCTGGTGTTGTATTCTAGCTCCTTGTCAGGGTCGTACCCAAGTACTATATATACTGTTGGATTGTTGTTGACCCCGCGTTGTCACCGCGACCACCACAATCACCAAGGTCCACGGTCCGCCACACAGCCTCTTCAAAATGACATCACTCCAGTTACCATGTCCCAGTGCCTGGGTTTCGAGATATCACTTGATTCACCAGGATTCACCCGCTCCCCTCCGCTTGCACCGCATCCTGGCTGATCAGCATCTGATGGACAACGAGACACGCATCCTCTATAAGTACGGCAGCTTTTCACCAAGCTCCAACGCTTCAGACATCCCTCTGTCATCTCAGCAGGTCTGAGTAGCGCGTCGCCGGTCGACCCATAACTCCCAAAAAAACTCTATCCCCGCCCTTCCGAAAGTCACAATGCGTTCACCCTCCTACACCTTCCTCCTACTCGCGTGGATCCTCTTTCTGACCGTCGCCAGTGCTGAGGAGAATCCAGCTCCGCTGGCCGCACGCTGTAGCCGCGGTATGAATAGATACAAAACGGAGACGCGGGACCTCAAGCTAAGGACGAGACGTGGGCCGTGGAGGTTACCGAGGTCTGTTGGAGAGGAGTGAAGAGGTGCGTTTTAGGGTTATTCGTGTTGTGCGTCGTTTCGATTATTGATTTTTTCATCTGGTATTCTAGGGGTAGGGTGCTTGGTTGCTTCGAGTCTCAAGGGGATGTATGTGTACTGGAGTACTTGTGAGTCTCATTGTTCAGCTGTGGCTCTGAAAGGTCGAAGTTGACCTAATATGCGGATAGTGGGTTACTGAATGTCTT